ATATATATATATGTGTGTGTGTATGTATAATATAAATCAAAAGGAGTGTTCTGTCCACGAATTTCGTGTTTGCCGACAGCAGGAAAACAACACATACGCACGGAGTCAACAACAGGAGCCAACCGGTACAAGTGGTACTTGAATAAAACTCTTCACTATTCAATGCAGATAAAGTGTATAATGTCAACGATAATTTTTCTTTATCTGATAAGTAAAGATATTCTTTATTTGAGGTACGAAGCGTATTATTTTCATCGATTTGGTGAGATTGCAATATTTATCCATTTCCACTTCAGTTAGTTTACTATAAAACAGTCTCTGGTAGTCATTAGTCTGGAATGGAAGTTATGTTAAATATTTCTGTAAAATTGAAAGTGGAAAATTGCAGATGAACCTGTATACTTTTCTTGAGTGTTTTTCCCCCTTCATAATTCCAAAATTAACCTCAGTACTCTCTACTTATGTGCAGTTCGATCGGTTTGTCCTCAGGCTCAAAAGTCACGCAACATCGTTTCAATGACAGTTTTCACCAACAAAATTTATTTAGTAAAAAGTTTATTATCACCAGTAGAAATAATGGAAAGGAGGGAGTTTAAAACTGCGATAAAGAAAAATGTAATTATTTCAGTAGTGGTTCAACCCGCATGGCCCATTTGAATTTGGAATTATAATGGATCAACAAAGCAGGCCCGTAGATTATATCGCAATATGCTAATCTAGACAATATGATGGTTTCGCAAAATTTCAACTTCAATTTGGAAGTCATAATATCTCTACTTTGATAGAGTTGACGTAGGATAGTGTATGAGCTACGACAAAGTGAATTAATATGTTTGTAAAATCTCAGATCAGCATCTAGCCATAAACCCAAGTTCTTGCTTTCTGTAATTGTTTGTAGTAAGTCTTGTCCAAGTTGGATTTCAATTCTTCCTTCGATTTCCCGTCTTTTGTGTTTCGAGCCAAAAAGTATCAGCTGAGATTTTTGAATATGCAATAATTTCAGGCTCATTTAAAGCTTCTTCATCAACACATTGAAACATTGTTGAAAATCTGAAAATAAAATGTTCATCCAGAAATACTAAGACTTGACATTATATGACTACTAACAAAAAAAATTGGGGTGTTCACGAACCCCTCCTGAATTCGGCTTTAAATTGATTCATTGAGTAATTGAGAGATTGAGAGAGAATCCGATGAACCATCCCAAAGAATAGTAGCGTAACTTATGTGTGAATGAAATAAAGAAAAATATGTTGAGCACTGCATAGTTCACTTCTCAATTCAGTATTATGAGTTTTCCACGATAGGTCACTATCCAGAGTTACTCCTAGTAAATTTACAGAATGAGTTTCTATGGCATTCATAGACAAAAGATAAAGATACTGTGATTTATCGTTATTAAGATTATGAGTTTCTATGGCATTCATAGACGAAAGATAAAGATACTGTGATTTATCGTTATTAAGCTTGAGTTTATTGGCTGCAAACCAGTTTTCGCATTTATTCTCTAAGTCTTCTTGAATTCTGTGCCGACCTGATCACAGTTTGCCAGAATATATAAATATCGTATCATCTGCAAACGAATAAATTTTCACCATATAGGTACTCAAGTCGTAAGTGTATAACTATAAACAACAACGTTCCTGATATTGACCCTTGAGGAACACCATGTTCATTGTGTTTGATATCAGATAAGGAACTTCCAATACTTACCAACAGACATATGTGAAATATGTGGAACGATCATCAAATGTGTTTATTGAGCACGCAAACTGCGAAACACATGGCTTACAGAAAGGTTGAGCTACACACTTGATTATTACACATCAGTCTTCATGGTGCAATAGGGTCTTAACGAATAGCAGATCAATTACAAAAATTACGTCGTTGTTCAATCTAATAAACGAGGACGACATGGAAATATTCTACACGTTAAGTTTTGAGTTAGAAAAGGCAAAGTTAGACGAGATGCTTTTTGCAAGCCAGAGAAGAACCTAGTATATGAGAGATACCAATATTTGCAGTGACAGATGAATCCACTGTCCAATATTTTTCGTGCTGAGTCGGAAAATGAATTAATTCAATCAAAATGAAATAAAATTTTATCGTACTCCAAATAGTTTCTGATGAACTGTGAGTCATATGAATTTGTGATAACATACCATCAACGAAAATGGATTCCTAACTGAAATGTCATTGATACGTAGTTTCAGTTGGCAATTTAATGATTGGGATGGAAGGGATGAAGGAGGCTTGATAATTTTAAAATTGGTTCAATAACGTCGGTCTGAATATTTTTTCGTTCTCCCTTTCTTTCTTCAGAATTCGATATTCCATTAGTATAGAAGATAAAACGGAATTTGATGAGCATATTGGAATTTCGAACTCACACACACATTGATAAAAATATTGTTTGACAGCCGGCTTTGGGAGTAATTGCCTCTCAAAGAGCAACGTCCTATGTAGAATTGACACAAAAGACTCCCAAGACTGGAAAAGTTGTCTCCGGTCTGGATTTCTGGCCACTCTGATTTCGATTCCTGGCCGTACTGGCTTGAAGGGAGATGAGGCTGCTGATTCTCTCAAAGTAAGGTCACTGTAAGCTGATCCATTGACCCAGAACCTGTCATTGAAATCTATTCAGGCTTTTCTGGACAAACATTGAATTCCCCTACTGCAAGAGTTTCAGACTTTTAGAAAAAGCTACAAGAATTGAAAGATATTGTTCGAAAGATATTGGGACAGCAACATTAGGGTCTCAGGCCCTGCACCTGGTGTTGAAGAAATCCAAACCTATTAAGTTACTATGATATACCAATGTGTTGAAGCAGGTCACGATGAACCCCTCAGTTTCCGCGATGGGCCCACTTGACCTGAGGTAAGCAAAAGTCTGGTTTTCTATTTAGCTGAATTCTTCAATGTTTTCAACGGAGATCCCATATATCAGTTTATATCAGTTTATTCTTGTGTAGCCGCTGGCAAGTTTTTGATTTAAAATCGATGAAGGAGTCCTGATCACATCGTTCAGTATAAAAGACCTAGCCTCATCGGCCTCTCAGGCAGCTGCTCAAAAGAGAAACGCTTCAACCTTTGCTTTTTCATGGTTACGGATCATGCAGAGGATGGCATTCTAATTCCTGATGACTGTACAAAAGTTTACTACGGCCTTTCAACTTCCGGAGACTGTATAACCTTGGAACGGACGATTTAGGATGCAAACTTCTACGAAGGTACATCATTTCCAGGGTCTTCACGTTGGGTGCATACAGCTGATCTCCTGTCTACTTGGATACCCCAAATGAGTTTGATATTATCGGAATGTCAAGCATGTTTCATTCATTATTTTTATTATTCTATTGAAGTTGATTCTACTTTTGTCGGTTGAGGCGGTTCACCCAGTATTCGAGTATAACTGATGTTCACCTTTTATCAGGTACCGCTCCCAAATCGCCGCAACTTTATGGCCATGAGAAATGATACGAACCTAATGTCCCCAATAATTATAAAAAAAAATCACTTTTGTACAGTTCTACATTACCATTTCATTTATAATGTACTCGCACGATTCAACTCATAAAATGAATCATAAACAAAACTTTATGGATAGGTAGGGCTACTAACATCATTTTCTGGTTGAATCTGAGTTCTCAAAAAATGTAAGACACAAGCAATTTACATCATGTTCAACATGATGTTTATATGCTCATTAAAATGAGTGACATCAAATATCAAATTGGCTACCTTGACAGGAAATTTGTACTGTTCTCGAATTCAAATTGAAGTGACAACAAACAGTCTCAAAATGTTGAGCTGAAGAACTTGAAACGATAAAGTAAAAAACGGTATGAGAAACTTCCTCTTAAAAAAATCTTAATGAAAATCTACACATTATACAATGATGAAGCATTTATGAACGTAAGGAAGATCGATACCTAATAATCGGGTTTATTTTTTAAATTTATTGGAAAACATCTTGGAACGTCATACATTGTACATGCATTTTATAATTGCACATGTTTGTTGTTGATGTGTTTCTTGTTATAAATGTGAAAAGAAATATTTCAATAATTTTAACTTTTTTTCCAGTACTTGTATTTTATATTTATGTTGACCAGTACGATGAAAATGTACCAAATTTTCTTTGATTTATTTGTGTGTCTACTTTATTCTAATTATAATTATTATTAATTCTCCTACCTGACTATTTATCATACCGATAGATAATCGTTGTTTTTCCTTTTTTTTGTAAAGCACTTTTCCAATGAGAATTACGTTTTTCAGACAGTATTTGATTGATTGATTAAGCCAGTCCGACCCCGTACCGTATTTTGTATGATATCAAATTCGCTTTCAAGTGATAACAATTCAGCTTGAATAAAAGTTCGACATGAGCAAATATCTATTGATGTCACTCTGGCCAATTTACTTATAATAAACGGTTTCGACCAATCAGAACGCGACAGAAAGAAAATAATTAAAGCCGTACCGAAGGATAAGAAGAACATTTCATTATATATTTCGTAATTTACAGTCATAATCTTGATTACAATTACGAAATATGACCAACATTTACAACGTCCTCCTACATGCCGTTTTCAGGAAATAATAACAACAATACTGCCAACTTAAGACAATATAAATTACTACTTTCAGTGAGTAATATACTAGAAATGTCTAATTTATCTCGACCAATTATCGGCG